GCCTACTTACGTGTGTTTCTTATGTAAGTAGGCTGTTTTACCTTTGCGCTGTCTGTTTGTATATTTGGTTTTTGCTCACATAAATTTGTATTCGTCTTTTTGCAGAATATTCTGTATTTTATTGTTTTCTTCTTAGGCCGTCAATTCATCTTCGGATTCACACACACACAGAAAATACATTCAATATCATGCGCACTAGCATTCGATTTTAACAAGTAAAGAATCAACAGCGATCTGTATTATACAATTTTTGTACGAATTTTGTGTTCTTTCCCTCTTTCTCTAAATATTTAAATAAAAAAAAAATCAAATTGCCATTCAAACTTTGGTATTACACATATATAGATAAATTGCCGTTTTGTATTGCTATGGTCTAGCCATTTGCCCGTTGATTCGTGAGTTCCGTCTCTGCTTCCTTGAAGATGTATCGTCCACGCGTCATTGTAGCCATTCAATCATTGTGTGTGTACGCAAAAAATGAACGCATTGGATACAGAAAAAAAACTGTCATGATGAGTGTATGTGTGTGTGTGTGTGTTTTCTTCCCGGGTGATGTCAAATCTCTGTGTTGTATTTGTGTTGAATGTTGTTGATATTGATCAGTACATCGTTATTTTTATTTTTTACTTTGCGGCGCTTGATGTGCTGATTTTGTATGTGGGTATATTATGAATTTAGCTCTGTGAAAAAAGATAGAGAAAAGTCAAGTAAACAGGCGAGATATAGAATGATTTTTATTCTTTTTGTTTTCAGGTTTGAAATGGTGCAAGGCGAAAAAAAATATTTGCTGATCAATTGAATTGATTTATATATTAACGTCGCCAATTAAGAGTATAATTGAATGGAAACATCTGCCCTCTCGTACAAGATTAACACGAGCTGGCTATTGAAAAACGGCTGCTATTATCGCTGTGCATAAATAACAATAACATTACATCGAACGAGTTTTTTGGTAAAACAGATCCCCACCATACGGAATTTTAATGATAAATACACTTGATTGCGCTTAATGAAATTTTATGTAATTTTTGCTTGCAAAAATAACAGAGACGTTATTACGATTTTTCGGTTGAGAACGGTTAGGGAAATTTATTCGCAAGTAATTTTCACTCGACGATATTTTTAGACAAAAACAAAACAAATTTTGTCTCCAAAGCAAATTCTGACTCATTCGATGTTATAAAAATTATTCATTCTGACTCGACAGATTTATCGCCCACTGATTTTTATCAAGTCGCCTCAACTGTGATATATGGACGAAGATGCGAGATATTTTTACGATATGCACACGCATCGAATTGCAATGCCACTGACATCATTCAATTCATGAAATAGAGGGTCTCGCATTGGTAAACATTTCGATGGTATTTACTATTTACACAAGAAAGGTCTCTTAATTTGAACAAAAAATTACTCAATTTGCGAACAAGTTACAAAATGTATGTCGAACGATAGAAATTACGACCCGTGGTCACATTGAGAGAGAATTAAACAAAAAATTGAGAAATATAAATAAAACGTAGAAAGAAAGGAAAGTATTCCAAACACTCGCTGTGAAAATAACGTGTTAGAATAACTAAAAATGACCAATTTATTCAATGAATTGATACAAATTTGGGGAAGAATTTTTTTCATCGAACAAAATTGCAACAAATGCGAAAAATCGATATGAAAACGAAAAAAATTAAAAATTAAGTGAAAAAGAGAAAATCTTGAAAAAAAGTTCAAAAGACGTATAAAATTGGCTCGGGTCGCAAAAGTACTTAATTGGTAAAAATCATTTTACAAATGGCAATGCTAGTGGGCATGTATCGGTGTTGTTAAAGGCGTTGTCTTATTGGCGATAAATAAATAAAAGAGAGTTCCATAAGCAGGAAAAACGCACATTTAATTTAAACATCTTAGTTAGCACGCACCAATTAATGTCAATCTTTGGCACGTCAAAAAAAATGGTCAGATGTCATTTAAATTGGCGCTGTTCATGTGAATTGAATTCATTAAAAGTACTTTAATATTTTTCTTCTCCATAAAAGGTAATTTTTTCGCATTTGGAACAGCGCATTTTCTCTTTTTTGTCTGTGTCTATTGTTGACGCCATAAATTGATTTAATATAAATTATTTCCAAAGGTGATCATACGAATAAAAACCAATGTTTCGAATGTTGTTTTTCCCTCTCTCTGTCCGTTCCAAATCAATATTATGTTAAATTTATGATTTCAAAACGGCGTAAACAAACAAATCATATGTCATTCAATTGCGACGGTAATTAGAAAACGGAAATATATCGAAGGTGCTGCAACTTTCTTTTGTCGATTGCGACCCGTTGAAATGTATACAACCGGCCTTCAATGTCAACAGCCCGATGTGTGTAGTATTTTTTGTTAACAAAACAGAGACAATTGAGACTGTAATTGTGTGCGATTGAAATCGAAATGTGGTCAGCCTTGGTATTGTTTGCAACTTTACGCATATTGAATGAAATATGGTTAAAAACTGTATGAACGAACGACAGTTTGAACTTGTGACTTGTTGCATTTAATTTGCTGTCATCGAAAGAGAAACGAGGGCTCGATCTCTTGCATATCTATATTTATATCGTGTATGTGTGATATCAATTCTCACGGTTTTATACGGCGCGGTACGATGACGTAGATCAATTTACATTTTTGTTATTGCGACGCAATACATTGTATTACGTGGTGCTGATATTATTCCGAATACAGAACAAAGACACACCGACCGGAAAGGTGCACAACAATGTTATTTGCGGTGATTAAAGTACACGTGATTTTGAAATGCACGGAGATTTAATCGCAATTACCGCACAACATGTAAACAAGCATCGAGTTTCGGTGACAATTTAGTTCGTTTTGAGCAAAAAAAAATTTTCAAAGGAAAAATTTTGTTGAAGCGAAAAAATATTTTGGATGATGAAAAATCGTATAAAATTCTGGTAAAAGAATTCGTAATAAATAATAGCTTACCGTTTTCTTTAAAAACAAAACAAAAAAAAAATCGAAAACCGATTTGCGTTTAATTTGTTTTTCACCAATACGGGCATTCATGATCTAAATGGTTCCACGATGCAAATTCTGAGTATGAAGTCATCTTTGACTGTGTCAAATCGTTATATTTCGCATTTGGAATTGAAATGGGATTGGTGTATGTTGGTGTACCGTTCTTCATGCCCCCATACAAATTGATGCCGATCTTTTGTTCCTCCATATGCATTAGAATGCCGGGCGAATGACTAGCAATGAACGATGAGCGTTTTTTGATGAGTTTATAATTTTTGCCCTGCATTTGAAAAAAAAGACAACATAAAATTTGGTAATTAATCAAAGGCGTACTAATTGATAATGAATAGCTGTGAAATACAATTGACTAACGAAATATTCAACTTAATTAACGAATCGCATTCTTATCACATGACACTTTGTCACCAAAGCAATCTCGAAAATTTTTGGTTGAATGCTCCGATGTCATTGACTAACTATCAGCTCACCTCATTGTTGTCCCAATGTTCTTTGTCGTCGACACGAAAACATACGCAAAATTCGAGCACCACTGACGATGGGGGTAATGTGAGTTTAAACGAGAATGTGTCATAGAGAACATATGAACCGCCACCACCGCAAATCTGTGACGAGAATCCATTGCAAATTAATCCGCAAAACATTTTCACGAAATGCAATAATTTTCCTTCATCACGCTTACGTGAGGTGTGATGGAAATAAAATTGGACATTTTGTTTTTTCGTTTCATGATGTCACATTCGTTGCGAACAGGTCTACTTACCGGTGTATATGTGCAAACGGTGTCTTGTTGTGTTTTCCAATTGTCCCATGTGGATCGAACCAATACCTCTTTGTGGAAGCTAAGATTTTTCACTTTTACCGTTCCCACTAGCATCGATTCGGTCTCCTTGATTATGACATTTTCCAATGACACATTTTTACTATCTAATTTTTGTCTGCGCAAAACAAACGAATAATTTTTTTTTATATTATCATCGTTTGACTCGGGGATTTTTTTGTCCCGTCGTAATCACAAAAAAATTGTATGTTTTGGTACCTAAAATTCAAATAATCTGAAGCCGGTTGTTTGAATGAAATTGACCATTCTTCTGTGACGTCTGGTGCTATTAATCCTTGTGTGACGTGCGACAAAAATTCAATGCTCCAAAGTGGCGGCACATTTGATGGTTCGGACATTACACGGATCTCTGTTAGTGATTTTCCCTTATCATCGGCAAACACCACTCGCTTCTTTGCTCTACAAAATTAATCGAAATTAGTACTTTTTTTTCGGGTGGGAACCATACAGTGCAATTGACTAACACCACTTTATCAATGGTAGCTGTCAATAAATCTTATGGTCATAATTTTATATGAGAGTCGGAAAGAGTTTCGATTCAAAATTGTGTGCCGTCTGTCATTTTTTTCTTTTAGCTTTTTCCAAGAAGAACCAATACGAAAAGCAATACAGTCTTGCTTAATAATTCCTTCTGACTTTGAATTTTACGAAGTGACACCAACTACACAACATTACCGATTTGCATTAAAAAGCATTAAGCTCTATGCGGTAACTAGTTCACACAATCATCACAGCGACTCGTTTACACATATTTATTCGAATAATTATCACAATAAATACACTCACTTTTGATCATTTGATGTAATTTTATTCTCTGTTGTGTTGTTTTGCAAGTGTTCACTCTTCACCACTAAACATGGTCGCTTTGGTACCGTTGGCATTTTACTAGTCAATTGATGGAATTTTTGTCGGCTTTGAATCGGTGTTAAACTTTGTGAACGGCATAGCGACCTTGACGGATCAAAATATCTATAGACACACATTGAATAGAAGAAAAATGGATTTTTTTTTTAAATTGTTTTTATGACATTTTTTCACACTTTTAATTTTTTCGAATTTCTTTTTTTTTTAATTTTCACGATTTTTTTTTACTTTTCTGCGCAAAAACGATGAGTTTTTTGAAAAAAAATTAAAAAGTCAATTTTAATTAGAAATTCACGAAATTTGGTAGAATCAAACTTTTTTCTGGCTAAAAAGTGAAAAAAAAAAAATCAAAAATTTCCTTACATGTTAACATTTGGTCCGTAGTCGGATAAAAATGAAGCGGGTGGACTGTGACTGAAAACTGGTGGACTGTGAGAAACAAGCATCTCGTAATGGGCCATGCCAGTGATTGTTGTTGATGGCATTTAAAAATCTGGTTTAAATTCCTTTTCGCCTGCGTGAAAATCGTCTGTTACACTTCAATTCGGCATACAAACTGTTTGCGTGTACATGCAGCTATAAAATTGCTACAAGTCGTTATTCCTTACTGAACGAGAGCACGACACGCTGTTCACTGGATGACAACTGTAAGGAAAATATTTCGATTAGTTAGCTGTGTGTCGCCTTTTAAAGAGCCTCGCTTCGAGTTCAAAGTTCTTGCTATGGGTTATCAAAATCGCTTGAGACAAATTTAGAACGGATGGCAAAACAGCGATTCTTGTTGTTTTGACTTTTTTTTTAAATTAAATCGTATATGTCATGAGTGTAGTATTATAACATCAATTGCAGTCACTTCATCAGGTAGTTTTTGACGATTTTTTACATGAATCATTCTCGTGCACAAACAAACTGTTTCATTCAAATACCGTTTCACGGTTATCACACGCAATAAGTACGACCAAAAACACATTTACACCGTACGGCAATCAAGCGATTTACTCTTTTAAATCACTCACTCTCGCACACATTGAATAAAAACACAGACAGCGCAGTAACCACTTGAAGTGATTATCAAATTTATTCAATTTTGAATTCAACGCTTTAAATTCATTAAATTGTTGGCATTGTTTGGCAATGCATACTATCGTGTAATTGATTCGAGATGAACTCTCATCACCTTTTTTTTACAAAATTCTATTTCGGTCTTAGTTGCTTTTTTTAAATTCGATTCAAATCAATTTAGATTGCGATTGAAATCATGATGTTTTTTCTTTTCATGAGTGTAGTAGCGTAAGGTATTTTGTTTTTGTTTTAGAAGATTAACGATTTGTTTTTCTTCAAATCGTTTCGTAGACAGAAGCGACTGAGAATAAAATATTCGATGCCAAAAAAAATATGAGCCAAAAATTGAAATGTCGCAGTTTTTTTAACAAAATTTTTGCCACACCCGTACCAAATTTCGCGAACGAAAAATGAGAAACTTTTATTATGAATTTATGACAAAACAAATTTGCTCATTTATTTACATTCAAAATAATTTTCAGTATTTGCAGAGAAGACGAGTAAATATTTGAAGCTCGCAAAAATGTCATACAAGTGATGATATAGATGGATTGTGTTGGTGCCGTTCGTTGCGATAATTTTTATTGTAATACAATTATTATCATTAGCTTTGAATTTATTTCATCAACATTCTTAACATATTGTTATCTTGTTTGCACCCGCAGGTTATTGCCTTTTAATTCTAATAACAAATAATACCGGTTTTATAACTCGTCGTATTGAATTCACTCGCTGTCATAAACTGTGATTACAAATAATAATATTTTGATAACCTTTTCGGTGAGTTTAATTGTCATCATTTAGTATAGAAAAAGTGCCGATTTCTTCTAACTATCCACAATTACAACTCAAAACGGATCAAAATGTCAATTGGCAATTAGAAAATCGCATTCTCAATGAGCTATTTTTGGAGACGATGTAGTTTCCGCATGTTATTATGAAAATCGCAATAAAATATCAACCGTTTTTTTATGATACCACATGTCCGAGGTATGTTTTCTTCTTCCGAGGAATTTGTGTGTGTGTTTTGACAGTCGGCGGAGACGAAAATTACGATTGGAAAAATGAGAACAAGACACCGTTTTGATGACAGTTTTTTTCTATGACATCTGTTAAAATTAGATTTTAATGGCAATTTTATTGTTTTGGAAGGCGACGGCTTCGAGCGGAAAAATACTGAATAGAACGCGTGTAATAGTTTCCGAATTTCAACACGAGCGATTCTAAATGTCGGCAATGTTTTTGAATAGAAAATATCTTATCCATAGTGTACCAAAATCTGATAAAATATAAGCTGCACTCAATATATCTTCATCCACCGCGTGACCATAAATACAGCAAAACCTTGCCAAATTTCCGGTTATTTCTATGTCAAATTGTGCTTTTACACAACTTTTCAGCAAACATAGTGTGGAGAAGGTAATTTTTCTTCCTTTTGAAGTGACAGGTGGACTTTTAGTCATAGATGGACCGCTTAGGTCAATATTATAAATGCGCCATCAGGAAATTGTTGATTTTACTTATTGTCATGGATCATTATCACTTGAAAGCGATACCAGGCAGTCACAGACGTCTTTCAGACATGTTAATGTGTTAAACAAGTCTCAAAACATTGAAAATAGAATGTTCCGATAATCCAACGCACTCGGAAGTACAAGTGATTTTGATTTTATGACTTTTTGTCCCGAACTCACTGACTTTTAGTTGACATTCCATCATTTTACTCAAAAGAGTTGTCGTCGTTTCAAAAAATGGTGTCAACAATCGATCATGTCGTCATTGACATTGCAAAATAAATCATAACTTTACCGGGTCACAAAGGGACTTTGATTCTTTTCCACTTCACCAAAGAGGCACTTAATCGTTCTTCGCTTGCATCATTCGAATTTTATGTGACAAGTGTCACCCGTTCAATGCATGCGGAAGATATCTTTGATTTGACGACGTCAATTCGATCAAGCTTCATGAAATCAACGTTTCGCAACATTTGCTTTAGTTTCATTTCACGTTAAGCTTTCGACACGGGCTATTTCAAATAATAAATTCGCGAAATAGTTTTTTATTTTTCAAATGAACTTGAATTTGGCAAGCATTTGCCAATGAAATTGAACGTGATGTGCCAAATCCGACTGTTAATGAAACACGAATGTATTAATAATAAATTTATAATACGTGAATGAAACTTGTCAAATCGTATATCGAATTGAATTCTGTCCTCAAATTTGGCAGCCTCCAAAAGAGTGTCTCCAAAAAACATCCTTGAGATCCATCAAATTATACAGTTTGTTTAATTGGCAAACTTATTATCTATGTCATCGAATGAAAAAAGGTGATGTGCTTGTCTCTCATTAAAATTGTTGGGGTAGACAGAGTTGCGGTCAGAGTTTATCAGTATAGCATTGGAGTGATTGTTTTGGCGGCGTTTAAACAAAATAGTTTTTGCGGCGAGAAAACCACAACAAAACAAACCATTCTTATGTAACTTCATTTTTGTTTACTACGGGACTACCTTTTCAAAATCGAAAAAAGCACACTTATTTCTGGGTCCATTTGTGTCTACATAGAACAGCTAGCCGTAGCAATTTCTTGGAATAATTAGAGATTCATTTCAATTGATTGCGTTGATTTGATCCCCTTCTTACACTATTTTCACATACTTGGCGCGAAAAAGTGTTTGATCACGCTCTAAAGTGATGACTACCAAGAGACAAGGGTCGATTCAAATAAATCTGCTATTCGCCGTTTGCATACACACAATTAATATAAATGTAAACAAAAACAATCTGGTCACGGGATCCTAATGTGAAACCGATTTTCGCCACGTAACGAGCTCAAACCAAAGTCGAACACTCGCCAAATCAATACAGAGAAGAACAAAATCGATTTGTAATAATAAATAAAGCACACCGATGCAAATTTCAATCAGGTTTGAATGCGATTTGAATTTACCGATGATTTTTTTTATTTTGAATTCAAAAAACGGCAAAACCATATAGTCGATCGTCTCGTGTCGGTAATAAAAATGTAATCTCCTGCAAAATTTTGACCATTTTCAAACCAAATGCGTTTTGTCGACACAATATCACGAGGTATGTCTGATTTGGTATAATCAATATGTGTTTTGATTGGCGGAGAGAAGGTTCAGTAACCGATACTTGGCAAATCGTCTGGAAATTGACTTTTTAGATAATACCAACGAGTCGCAGCCAAATTGCCGACGAAACCGCTTCTTTTGGTGGCAAGTAATCACATAGCTCTGGTGCATTGACCGTTTCAATTTTGAAAGTTCAAAATTCGTCCTTGGGGAAAAAAAAACCTTTTGAGAATGGCAAATTTTATAATGATGAAGTCGACTTCAGCGTCGGCATATCACCTAGGCACTGGTGCCATTTTCGACACGAGTTTTCCTATTAATGTGTTTTTTTCAATCTGCTCTATTTTATCAAAATTATTCCAGAGCACAATTATCGACTACCAATTGTTTTGAATTTCGAAAGTACCGTCCCCCGTAAATCGGTCAAGCATTGGTATTTGAAACGCAAATTGGAAAAGATAAAGTCAATCAATTCGAAGGACAATCAACATGAACAACCAATCAGTACCTATTTTTCAATACTCGTGTGATCACATTACATCCAATCAGGTCCATTATTTCAAATGTGTTTTTGGGGGTGAGATAAATGGGACAGTGTTTGTTTGCAAGTTTTCGCAGGACCGTTCGAAGTTCGGCTCCATGATTGCAACGTAATCGTTTCTGGTGTCTTTTGAAAATATGGAAACTTGTAGCAATCGGGAGACGAAGTTCACGGTCTTTGGCTTTCGAGTCCATTTTCGGGCTCTACAAAGCGAATCAACGGGCTTCACAAAGGGAAATCTCACTTCAAATCGAATTCAGCAACAATAATTTGTTTGACGCAAGTTTTAACACTCTATAATGTGCAATTTAAAAATCAATCAATTTCTGTCAAAGACGACCGATTTATCCTTTTGAAAATAGAGTGAACAAACAGTCAATGTTTATATTGTAATCTCATTTCAATACTTAAGACCCCAAATTCTTCGAAATATTTTCTGAAGGAATTGTGATTTTTTTAAATTACGTTACGCAGAAAACCTGTTGGAGATTCATTATCATGAATATTTACTGTTTCAGACTGGAAGTGTTTATGAGAATCACTGAACGTTTATTTTGAATATAATGCGAATTGAAGTGTTGACAAAAAAAATTATTTATTTTTATTAAAAAAAGCGCCAGACATATTTTTTCCCAAATTAAATGATAATTTGCCATTTTCTACGTCTGTTCCGCAAAGAATTTCATTCATAATCATAATTGGAAAGTTGTCTAAAAAGCGAAATACCACGAAGATAAAAAACAATTGTATATTTTTGTCGCGATTTATCAAGAAGTCGCCTGACTTTCTTTTCTTATCGCTTCATATTGTAATTTTCGTTTTTATTTTCGATGTATGTGGGGGTCATATTGATTCGTATTTGTTGTATTTCTTGTTTCTCCGAATGATAACGCGTCTCTTCCAAATTCGGCTGCAAACAGAAATTCCATTAATTCTTTTTAATTAGGC